AGGGCCTCAGAGCCCGCCCCCTGGCGTCGCGGCTGCGCCGGGTGTGCTGGACACCTGCGAGGCCCGCCTGAGTGGGCACGGCCTTGCGCAGCCGCCGTAGCGAGGATGTCGCGGCGTGGAGTTTACTTCTGTCCCTCCATGAGCTAGCTGTTGGGCCGCTTTCTAGTGGCTGCCCATGAGCTGGGCTGGGGCTCCTGCGGGCCCGCCCGAGAGGGGGGCTGTGGGCGCGAGTGTTCTAGCCCGAGGATGGCTCAGTGCGACGCCGCCGCGCGCGACCCGCATCCTGCTCCCGCCCCCACCCATCCCCACCCCCACCCCGTGTCTCTCTCTGGTAAGTGCCCGTATCAAATTTAAAAAAAGCAATGATGATAAATTATTTTTAAAAGTGAATTACATGGTGTGTGCCTTAGGTTAGCCAGGTTTCAAGGCAGTCACCTGTGCAGTTGTGTGAATTGCATCCAGTTCAAGGGGCAGGTTGGGGCCCTGTGCAGCCCCTGTTGGGGTTGCCCGCAAGAACAGGTATCCTCTCCTAATTGTTCCTTCCACAGCAGGCTCCTTTGTGTAAATTGGTGATGGTGTCAGTGTGAGAGTGTCTCTGACACACTGACATTTCACGTTCACTCGTGATGACAGTGAGAGGCACCCCCGGGCTTGATTAGTATACGCGGTGCACAGGACGCCTGGAGAGCTGTCAGGTGGGGGAGAAGAGCACGTGGCAGCAGGTCGGTGACCCCTGTGCTGGATCAGCTCTTCCTGCCTCCTGTTCCCTCCCTTCCTTATCGAGTTAGGTTTTAGTGTTGGTATTGATGTAACGGGTAAGATTCGCTCAAGACTAAGATTCCAGCCCTTTTCTAAGAATCCTACCCTGATCTGAACCCCGTTGTTTGTTTGTTTGTTTGTTTTGAGAGGTTTTTTGCTATAGGGCATGTGCGCTCGCCAGACAGAGACAGAGAGACAGAAAGTGAGAAATCACCCCCCGGGGGGGCTGGCCACGCCGTAATCCCTTCTCCTCCATTCTCCTCTTGGGATCTTGGGCACACACGCACACGGCGTGAGTTTTAAGCCACCGGGTCCGGGACATGAACCGGGGTCGACTACGTGGGAGTCCAGCGACATAGCCATTACGCTAACTGCTGGTCCTCCTGAACCCCGTTTTTAATCTCCAGAGGGTGTGTGCACTTGCCAGGGCTGAGGAAGGGAGAAAGCACCTCCCAACGGAGTGTGACCACGTTGCAATCCCTTTTCCTCCATTTCTCTCTTGTTGGGGTTTTGGGCTAACGCGCACATACAGTGATGTTTTTTTTCAAGACGCCAGGGTCTCAGTAGGCCATGTGAGATCTGGCTCCCTTAACACTATGGTCCAGGTCCAGCCTAGTTTTAGGTTAAGTGTTTGAAGTTTGAGCTGTACTTTGTTTTTATTAATGGAAAATCTGTAAAATTTCCTTAAGCCACATTTCTGTATCCTTTACTCCTGGCATGATTCACTAGTCATAAAGGCTTGGACCTGGATTTCCTACGTAGACAACACCGGCGTGTCTGCGGCACCAAGAACAGCAGGTGCTGTCAGCTGCCAGTCATGCACAACCTCCATGACTTGCTTTATCCTGCACGCTGTGATGCCTTTATGGCTCCAGTCATTAAATGGGGAGCTAATCTTACCCGTTACATCAATACTGACACGCTAAAACCTAACACGGTAAAAAAGGAAGAGAACAGGAAGCAGAGAGAGCCTAAGATCCAGCACGAGGAGGGCACGGACCACTGCTGCCATGTGTGCTCTTTTCCGCCACCGTCCTAGCAGCCAATGCAGATACCCATGCATGAAAATCAGTGTCTGTTTTTAACATCGGTAAGGTAAGAACAGTGTGCTTCATATAGATTATCCAAATACAGCCTTCAAAAGTAAATACTGGATTTATAGAGGGAAAAACGGCAGACTCTCAAATTGCACAGATAAGAATACACATAATACTACAGAACGTGTGAAATAAAAGATTTATTTACTGTCTCTGCTCTGGCAGGCCTTTCTGGGAGGAACTGACCCTTATCCCTAAAAAAAATAATAAAAAAAAAACCAGCCTCTAGAATTTGGATCTTATGTTGCAAACTATATTATTT